ATAGGCATTTTAAATTATGACATGATTTCAAACAAAATATATCGACAACCATCCAATGAAATTCGACGAATTTTTTTCATTTTAATTCTACAGATTCTTAGAATTAAACTAAAAAAATCTTCATCGAATTCCATTGGATAGTTGTCGAGATATCTTCGTTTAAAGATTTAAAGAAAATTTGCCTCACTTATATTTGATAGGCGTTTTGAATTATACCGGTAACATGATTTCGAACGAAGATATCTTGACAACCATCCGATGAAATTAGATGAAATTTTTTTATTTATTCTACAGATTCGTAGAATTAAAATAAAAAAAATTTCATTGAATTTCATTGGATGGTTATAAAGATATCCTCGTGTAAAATAAATGATTTTATTGCAGTTTTGTCGAATTGATGTACGTGAAGTTACACAAACTGATGTACGAAAAAAATTGCCGTAAAATTATTTATCGTTAGATTGTCAATCAACTTAAATTCTAAATTAGGTAATGGCACATAGATGTAGATTTTAGAATGTTACGTGAATTTACACTATCCCTAAGTACTGTTTGTAGAACTTCTGCCATTACCAATATTAACCGCAGGTATTCACAGATTTTAAGGGCCGGGTCAGGATATCAAGTTTTGGGCTCTAGGGTAAGGGTAAGGGCTCAGAAGTCAAACCCTTACAAACGGGTAGAGCTAGGGTATTGCCACTACCCGGCCCCACCCGGCTCAAACGGAGGCCTAGCTGTCGGTGATTTTGTTGCAATACAGAGGTACGTGTATATAATAATAGAAAATTTGCTCCAATGATTTAAAAAACATTCAAATAAATAAATAATAATAGGAATGGAAAGCTCTTTACGGGAATTACTACAAAATTACGTTCAGACCCCACAGCATTAGGAAAAAATCTTTTACTTGTAAGAAAAGGCTTTGAATTGACATATCGTGACGATGACGTTACATTTGTCATTCCTGAACATACATTTATGCAAAAATTAAACGATCCTTCACTTTCAAAAGAATCTGTAATCTCCGAGGCGCATGGGAAGTTTGCGAGTGATCTGACAAAATCGGCTATGATTCTCTCTCAATCTAAAGTTCTTGAACTACGGCAAATCTACTCTCGTTATGCATCTCCCGACGAGCAACAAACTAATACATCCACTATTCATGATGTAACTTGTTATGTATTTAAAACGGATAAGCCTGAGCCCGCACAGCTTCTTGCCACGATTATGTACGTAGTTAAAGAAAGTGCATACTTTATACCAAATATTTCAGCTATGAGGAATCATGGTCAGATAATATTACGACCAAAATCTGATGTAGCAGCGATTACAAAAGTGTTGGAATTGATTCGTCTACGCGATCCTTCTGTTGCAGAATTTCAGTCAAAAGCAAAAAAGATTGTAAATTATATTCGTTCAAACACGAATGATAATTCGACAGAATATTTCACATCCAAAGTAGACACTTTACCCAAATTTACAGAAAAAGACAAATTGTTTATCAATTTCATCAGAACATTTATCCTGAATTCACATACAAGCCATGGTCTTTTTGAAACTCCAATAGCTGCTATACTTAAACCCATGAAATTATACGAATGTGATCTTGACAAGAACTGCGCAACACAATTCTTGAGAGAAATTGGTGTATGGTCTCCTTGGGAAAATTTAAATGTTTATGATTCAAGGATAATGTTAAATGGTCACGGAATATCAAAAAAATCCGATAATGATCAAGAGATTTCTCTAAAACTCGCTACAAACTTGATGAATACCAAACCATTCGTTTACAAACAGAAGAAAAAAAAATCATCATCAAAATCGCAGGTACTTATAAAATCACCATTAAATCTTGGGCCTATGGATTTTTATCCATATGATATTTGTGAAAATATTAGACATGATTTTGGTGAACTTCCAGTGTACACAATAGATGATTATACAGCACATGAGATTGATGATGGTGTGTCTATCGAACGTCTGGATGGCACAGATTCCGATTTAGCTTCAATGTGGATACATGTTCACGTTGCTGATCCGTCAACTTATATCCCACCTGGTCATAAATTATCTCAAATAGCTCGTACAAGGGTTCAAAGTATCTACTTCCCTGATCGTAATTACTCGATGTTACCATCCACAACAAATGAAAAAAGATTTAGTTTAGGAGTTGGCGCAAAAGATTATGGAAGTTATGTATTAACATTTAGTATGCGGATTGGAAATGATGGTACTTTTTTAGATTATAAGGTTCGACCTGGTATCGTTCGACGTGTTAAAAGCTTGTATTATGATGATGTTGATACGGTTTTATCATGGGACAACATCGGAAGAGGCAAAGAAGAGATAGAATTTTTTCACAAACAACGTCATTTTCATCCTCGCGAAATACCAATGCCAAAAAACACGTGTCAAGAGTTTTCATCATCAGAAAAACAAGACCTATTAGATTTGCAGAAACTTGCAATAATACATATGAGACGTCGAATAAATTTAGGCTCTTTCATGTTCATGTTACCACAACCATCAATTGAGTTGTATCCTTTCCCATTACCAATATCTAATCCTGATCCTCAAGCACCGATAATATACACAGGAATGCCTATCATCCAAGTTGGACTTGATAAAAGTATGCATTCTCCGGCTCGTGCGATGGTCGCAGAACTTATGGTCATGGCTGGTATTGTTGCATCAAAATTCTGTCAAGAGCGAGGTATTCCCATTTTATATCGGCGTCAAGATCCACCTGATTCACCAATAATTAATGAAGAATTAAAGAATATTGATTTGAAAAATGGAGCTTTACCTATAACATCTACGGTAAAAGTACGTCCTTTGATGTCAACAGCTCGACTAACGACAAACCCAGGTCCACATTGGGCCATGGGAATTCACGAAGGCTACTCAAAAGTCACATCACCATTACGTCGATATTGTGATATAGTGGCGCATTGGCAAATGAAAGCAGCACTTCTTAATAATGTACTTCCATTCGCCAAAGATGAGTTGGAAAATATGGCGCAGCATGTAAGAGCACGGGAAAAAGACATTGGTAAAACACAAATGCTTAGTTCAAAATTTTGGATACTTAATTTGATTAATCGATTTAAAGAAGCAGGAACACTACCAGAATTAACGGGAATTGTTTTGAATGCTTTCGAAAATGAACATAAAAATGTTTTAATAAGAGAACTTGGAGTTCATGGAATGTTTCACGATGATAAGGGAACAGTGAATCTTGGAGATATTATAAAAGTTTACCCAGCCCAATGTGAACCAGAAAATACAAATTTATTCCTAAGTTTGCTTTAATAATCTTGACTAGATTCTTACCACTAATAAATTTTCTAACATAATTCTAAATTGAAGTGTTATGTAGATTTCTTGGTTAAATTTTTGTATTTCATAGTCGAAATGTAGAAATCAAAGTCAAAACTTCCATTTGATAATGACTAATATGAACAGGGTGTGATTCATTTTTCAAAATTCGAATTGAATCAGAACCATAAGATTCGAGTTAATGCGCATTTTTGAGATCAATTTTCTTTTTAAGAAAAAAAAAAAGATAAAATTTAGTATTTTAAGCGCGGTTCAATTAATTTATCAAATTTTTATTTTTTACACTTATAATAATTGTCACAGATCATAATGAAATCGGATTAAAATGAAATGAAGGGTTTCTATTTGAGCCTCTAAAACCCATTTATACTTGTTTATTATAAAAT